TGCTGGTAGCAACAGGGATAGGCCACCTACCCTACCCATCCCCACGTTAATACTCCCAGCACACCCCCTGTCCCTACTATCCTACCTCAGTGTGACCAGCACTCAGGACCATCACCCTACCAGTATTGAGGGCAATTTTGACCAGACAGCAGTGACAAGCACCAGGGGCATGCTCCCACTAGCAACCAGATAGGATAAGGGTGGGGGTTGGGGAAAGGAAGGGTAAGCACGCCTGCTCAGGTGTCTGCTCTTATCAGCACCTCAAGCACCAGCTCAGGCAGTTTTTAACAAAAACAAAAAACAAAAAAAGAGTTTGTGTGGCAGTTGAGTGACCCAAATCCTGCAGTGCAGTACCTGTGATCCCACGGTCAGTGTTTTACATGTATTACTCGAAAAAGTAAGGAGATCTTCTTTCCCCTCCTCCTCTCCTTAACACTGGGCATGCCCGTGCAAAGACAACTTCCCGCCATGATCTTTTCAATCGGTTGGGGGTGTGGCCAACCCCAAACGAGGTTGGGGTCGGCCTTAGCCCACTGGATAGAAGATTTTCAGCATTTTACTTGCTGTTGTCCAATTATCTCATTGGGTGGAGCCCTCCTTCAATCACGGAGTATATGGAGGGTGTCAGGATCACTGTTGTCAGAAGTCTGGTGGTTACTTTGTTCACTGTTTTTGCAATCACCACCATCAGATCATTTGTGATCTGATGGCTGGGAAGCACTCTGCGGTGACCTCCGGTGGGAGGTCTCTGTTTCTTTTTTTTTTTTTGTGGCCTTTCTTCGGTTTTCTCAGCCCAGAAATTCGTAATAAACCTGTCTGGCCGCTGCCACTCAGTGTCACACTGGATCGGCCACGCTTCTATCGGACTGCTAATGGGACCACACCCCATGGGCATGGTCCCATTAGCAGACGGATTGGAGTGTGGTCGATCTAGTGTAACACTGAGTGGCAGCGGCCTGACAGGTTCATTACGAGTTCATGTGCTGAGAAAACAGGAGAAAGGCAAAAAAAAAAAAGAAAAAAACAGAGACCTCCCACTGGAAATCACGGCAGAGTGCTTCCCAGCCATCAGATCACAAATGATCTGATGGTGGTGGTTACAACAACAGTGAACGAAGCAGGCCAAATCAGGGAGTCTACCCAGCAAGATTACCTAAGCCATGCAGGCCAAAAAATATGTTGTTTATGGTTTTGATTTTTTTAAAAATACACGAGGTTTGTACATCTTTGAAAGATCTACAACCCTATATTTTATATTTTATTTTTCTGTTTTTTTTTTAGCCCTTAAAAATCTCTATGAAACCCAAAAAAAAAAAGACTCATGTCATTTCTTGCTTTTGTTGTTTCATTGTGCTTATGTTTTTGATTTTTTAAAAATATATTAAAAGCTCAAAAAATAAAAATAAAAATATGGGGCCGTAGACCTCAAAAAGATCTACGGACCCCCCCCCCTTTTTTTTTTTTTCGATTATGTTTGGCCTAGGAAAACAATTATTGCGGAATGCGTTTTTCCCCGTCCAATGCGCGTTCAAACGGGGATTGAACGCAAATTCAACGCGCGTTGAATTTTTGAACGCGAAACCCGCGTTAAATCCAATTTCGGACACACAGTGTGTGTGTGTGTATGTGTGTGCGTGTGTGTGTAAGTCTGTGTGATGCGTGTGTGTGTGTGTGTGTGTGTGTGTGTGTGTGTGTGTGTGTGTCTGTGTGCACGCGGGAGCGTGCGGGAGCCTGCATGCGGGAGCATGCGCGCGCGCGCGAGAGAGAGAGAGAGAGAGAGAGAGAGCGTGCGCGCGCGCGCGAGAAAGAGAGAGAGAGAGCGTGCGCGCGCACGAGAGAGAGAGAGAGAGAGAGAGAG